TTTTTTTTTATGACAAGACCCTCAGAAATTTCACTAGTCAGTAGTCACTACTCCATTAATCCAAACAACAAATGACAAATCCAAATAGGCAGAAAAAACGACAGCACGCCAAAAAGGAATTTTGTGATTCCGCAGCTGAGGAAGTATATACTCCCTTCTTTTTTTTTATTTTTAAGTAAATTTGTTTGTATTTGATAACCGCATTGAAATTAAATTTTTAATTAATTTAAAATCAAATTAAATTATATTTTATTAAAAAAAACTCTCTTAATATTTATTTTTTATTCATAAAACTCAAACTTAAGACTTTATTAAAAAAAAAAACAAAATTACTTTCACTCAAACCAACAATAAATAGTTGGTTATTCTTCTGTTCATTTTTTATATGTTTAAGTTAAATTTTTAATTTTTAAAATATAAACTTTTTAATCATCTATATAAATAATAATTAAACCTTTTTATTAAATAAAAAATTTAATAAAAACTATATATAAGGATAAAAAAAATTTAATTATTATTTATATAAATTATTAAACTTTATTTTAAATTTTACATCTTAAATATTAAAAAAATCAAACTGAATCCACTGAAAAAATACAAATAAAGTCAGTTTGACCTCCGAAAAATGCTGACGTAATAGAATTTCTTTTATTTATAACTTTTTTTTCCTGTACATAAATTTTGGAGCCCCGTGTCATGGGGTGAGACTAGCTCTAATGGCACTTATATCAGAAACAAAATCTAGCTCGATCTCGTGCAGCATTTAACTTGAAATTAACCCTGTAAACTTGAATCAAGTCAGCCTTTCCCAATGTTTGGTGTGGCCCTTTAACCGGGCTCGAGGTTAGCAACACAAATACGAAAGTAGAAAGTTGAGAGAAGAAGAAAATTTATTAATATCACAAAGGAGTGTACAAGGGCATGAGTACAAAGCTCCTCTCTGCACTCACTCACCTAGCAGCTCACTCACTCTGGTCTCCCCCTCTTCTATTAGCCCTCCCTATTTATAGAAGAGGTCTGGCCCAAGTCCCTCTGCAGATGAGGTCTCTAGAACACTCCACAAATTTCCCTCATATTTACAATTTCTAAAAGCTTCTCCACTCTTCCTCCTAGCCTAAGCTTACATTATTTTAGAACATTTTATTCTAGAATTATGTGCAAGGCCTCAGGAGTTTCCCAAGTTGGGCTTGGCCCATTAAGCCCATCCAGATCCCTATCTGGAACCATCTCCGCGCACCCAGCAGCTTCTAGAATTTTCTGAGCCGCTTCTGCATGCTCCAACGTGTCTCGGCCGCGACCCCATGCCACGGCCTTGGCATGTACGCTGCCAACTCATGCCAGGTCCGCCTCTTGGGCGTTCCATGCCGCACTAGCACCTGCGTCCATGCCCGTGCTCACGCACCCGTAGGTGCCGTGGCTGCCACCCCGTGCCACGATGGCCTTAACTTGGACCCCCGAACTCACGCTCCGTGACACCCGGCTCTAACTAGCATTTTGCTGAGTTAAAATCTGGATAGAGAGAAGAATTCGGTTTAAAGTATCCAGCGCCTGCAGACCCACACCAACCCAGTCACCCGATGATTGCGCATTGTATCTTTCAAATTATGTGATTCTACATCCCACGTCCTGCACCGCAGACCCCAAAAAATAGAGAGTCGGGAGCATAGCTCGGGGAAAGAGCTACAGCATCACCGAACTGTACATGTAAAATTGGACCAATTCCTCTATTGTCATAACTCAAAACACAGGATCTGGGCTGCGAAGAAAAGCTCTTTGGTGCCAACACTCATTCCTGGGTTTACACATATAATTGAGAAGTACAAAAAATGAACAATCAGATCTGCAAACTGAAGAAAAATTATAATTCCATGGTCCATGGGTTTACATACAAATCTAGCAGAAAACTTTTCTTACCTTTAGAAGATTGTAAGTTGGTGGATGAAGGGTATTTATTTCCCATGTCCTACCCAACTCGGTCCACCTCTTCCAAGAAATTGCAGGAATTAGTTCCACGGATGAATCTTCTGCAGCAGCAACAGTACTTTCTGGCGGCACAAGTTAACTGATTCCCCCCTTTCAAATCCATCCTCCAATCTTTCTTAAAAAATTAATGCAATGCAAGTTGGGCACCACCTTTCACACCATATTCAGCTGAAGAAATCAACATTAGGAGCGAAAGCTGAGTCCTCGGTCATCAAGATCAAGGCATCATAATATCCAGAAAGAGAACTTCACTTTGAGCTCTTCTGGTTTAACAGAGAATTCGTAGACAAATAACTAATAACTAGTAATCTCTCTTCCCGACAAATCCAGCAGAATTTAGCCATTTTTGTATGCCGTATTGCCAGGCATCTCTAGATTTATTGCCTGACTGATCAAGATCATCCAAGGAAGACTCTATTGGTGGCTTATATGGTTGGTAATTGTCACTTCTTGAAACTGACTTGACCACCTTGTCATTGTCCGCTGGTGGTGTTCCTGACCTGGTCTCAGGGTGCATTTCCGATGACCTGTGTCTAGGTCCACCTGATTTAAAGGCCCTCATAGTAGAAGAAATCTTATCTTGCGATGAAGGGTAAGTGGGTAAGTCCTTGGGGAAGTCATTGGGGAGAGAATCCATGTCCATATAACAGTTCCTAGCTTTGGCATCAGTGATCAATGCTGCCCAATCATCAGATTGCATGAGAGCATTCGCATTACCCAAAAACTGTTAAAAGATCAAAGTTAGTATCCTAGCACAAATGTAGCAAAGCATGGGTATCTTCATTGTGCACCAGTGCATATTTCATGACAGCAAAAGATAGAAACGATAGAACCCATACCCAAAGTGCCCTTTTTGCACGAGTAAGAGCAACATTCATTCGCCGAATGTCTGCAACAAAGCCAACCCCATGATTTGAGGCACGCACACATGACATGATAATGACATCACGTTCCTGGCCCTGGAAAGCATCTACAGTATTTATATATACATCCTTCCCTTCTTCTGATCTTAATACACTCTCAAATTCACGTTGGAGGCATTTCAGTTGCAGCTTGTACGGTGTGATTATGCCAACAGTGATTTTCCCCACACCCAGAGATTTCAAAGTTTTCTGAAGTTGCTCATACAAGCGAAGACAAAATACTGCTTCATGCAAATTCTGATAAGAAACAGATCCATCCCTCTGTGATTCCCGCCCATGGGTAATATCATAGACTAAATAAGGCCGAAGCATAGGGTCTTTATAGTAAACTTCATCAGGTAAGTTAACAACACTTTCACTGTCAGTAAGACGTCCTTGGTAAAAGTATCTGGAAGGAAAATCTCGAATTTGGGAATGCATCCTATATTGCACAGATAACAACACAGTAGGACAGCCTGCTTGCTGGAACCTTTCAAAGAGGCTTCTACTGTATAAAGCAAGGTCCCAGCAGCCTTGCTGATAACTGTTGCAGGAAGCTGCTGGGGATCTCCAACAAGGACACATCATGCTGCACCAAGAGAAAGGGGAGGAAGTACAGCAGCTTCACTAGCTTGGGCAGCCTCATCTATAACCACCATGTCAAAACCATGAGTTAGTCTAGAGAACAGTTTTTGACCACTACTTGAAACAGTAGTGAAAACAATCTCCGCCTCATTGGCAAAACTTGCCTCAAGATTAGCACGGGCTTCTTCCAAATTGAAGTTGCTACCAGGGCGGAATTTGGCTTCTAAAATAAGAAGTCGAGACATCTCAACTAGAACCTTATCCCTGCTTTCAACCACTGCAGCAAGATTCTGTAACAATGTATCACGATTTGTGTCCTGAGCAATCAGAACATGAGGGTCAACACCAACAGATCCTTGAGAATGAACAGCAGCAGCTGTAGCATTAAGCTCTCTTTGAAGTGCAGCAATCTGTTGGGACAACATAGCTTCACGAGCTCTTAATGCATGCATGTGACCTAAAATTTCTTCACAACTCTTGAGTAGAAGCTGTTCAGTTCTATGCTCAACAGAAACTGCCTGGGCAGCACGTGTCTGTGAGTCAACCCCGACTCTAGCCACATCAGGACGGTAGACTTTCATCTCACCATCAATGAATCCACGATCAAGAACACGAGCAAGAAGCTCATCTGTTGCAGCATTAGAAGGAGCACAAACCAACATTCTGGGTTTGGGGCAGAGTTTTGGAAGGGTACGGAAAAGATTCTGATCCATGTTTTGAAGAACTTCATCAATTGATCCAATAGTAACATTTTCAGAATTGCTCTCATTAGCTTGCTTATAGCTCTCAGGTGCTAGTTTCTTGAGCAAAGAGTAGTAATGCTGATACTGGACCAGATGGATAACATTTAGCATTCCCCACACTGTATGTGTCTTGCCTGTTCCTGGAGGCCCTTGAACAAGAGTAAAAGGCCATGGTTCTTGCCTTTTTGTCATTCCACTGCTTGTTCCAGCAGCTGTGTGCATGGCAGCCTGCTGGATTGCTAGGAGCTGGGGCCCATTGAAGGTACTATGCAAATGATCCACAAAATTCTGGGTGAAGCATTCAGGCATGGCAGGGTTCTGCTGCTCATATTTTGGGAAGAGTTCTGGACTGGGCTTAAGAATTGCAGTTTGCATCTATGGAAAAGAGAATTTAGTTAACTTAAGTGGGATTCACAGCAACATGAAACACAACAAATGGTTTTGTCAATACAAAAGTAAATATTTACCAGGGAATTAAGAGAACAAAATGCATGCAAAGCCACATACTCCCGCTGAGTAGTTGCAAGTGAACCAAGTACAGTCAGGTACCAAATACCTCTTGATTGAAGTTTCTTACGAATATGATCATTGAACTCCTTCCTGAAAAATTAATACTGGGAGGTTTATATTTGTAAAACCAAAAACACATACTTGTGAACTTTTGCTTCAGGCACTATAACAATCAACAAAAAGGATAAAAACCTAGATTAGTAAGGACATTCACAACAAGCACGCAATAAAAATAATATAATTATATTTCTGCTAATAAGAAGAATATATAATTCTTTTTCTTAAGTAACCTGTTTGGATCATAGGAGTCCCCAACATAAAAATGAAGGATTGCCCCAGGAGGATCATGATTGTCAAGGGGTACATGACGTCTAATTGTACCAGCCACATGCCCCACAACCTCAGGCTCCTCACCTTCTTCCACTGATGCGGCATTACTCCACTTGGATCTAATTACTTCAACACAAGTATACATTTTAACATATGAAAAATCATATCATATATACAAGAAAAACTTGCAAGAAAAATTCCTAGTCATATATCATACCTGATCCAGGCCTTGGAGATGATAAAACAGCAACATCACCCTCCTTAAGTGTCCACTTGCACTCATTAGCACGGAGAACTATCACATCATACCATCCTATAACAACAAAATATGCAAATTGCCATTAAACAATCAGAACATTCTTATAGCACTGCCAGCTTGGGTAGCATACCATAGGAAACTCATGCAAATTTGTAAAGGCAACATACATGGTCAAATGTCAAAATTATTGTCCAAAAAGATGCTATTAGATCACCTTAAGGTTACCAGCCTAGAGCCAGAGAGCACAGAAAAGGAAAAAAAAAAAATTATTATAAAAAGACGTATAAAACAAATGGAAAAATCAGGAAAGAATTTTACCTCTTTCTCGCCTTTCAATGCTCTTTATACAGACCATTACATGTGTATCTCTTGAAGGCAATTCAGTCAACTTCTCCCAGGTGCTATACAGTTGTGCACGACATTCCTCAAAAAGTAAAGGTTCAAATACTCTAATGTATTCCTCCGCAGACTCAAACTGACCAGGAACACATTGAAGATTGGTCTCCTATGATACATATATAGTAGCAGAGTAAATCATCACATGAGACAAACTAGAGAATTGAAAAAGACTAACTGCTGTTCCAGAAAAAAAGACTAACCATCATAAAGAACAAAATGGCAACCAGAGTAAAGATAAATGTGGAGACTGTGAACCTTGAATCTCAGAGCTATCTGAACTTCATCATAGTTAACTAGTAAGCACAACTATAGCTATAGTTACAGATTAAATCCAATCCAGTAACCAACAACAGAGAAAATAACAATATCAAATCATATATAACCACAGAAATCTTCTACGTAGGGATTTGCCTCAGCAATTCAATAAAATAGATTAGCTTTTGTTTTTCAAAATTTTAAAGCAAGAAATTCCCTTTTGCCTACAATTCAACCGTAGCGACACAGAAGTAAACTAGCTGGTTGACAACCTGACAGAAACCATAAGTCAAAACTGTGAGTAGCAGCAAGCTCTTCATAATTCTCACATACAATGACCATACAATTAGAACTGAAACAACAAGAGACAAATAACACCAATGAAAAAGACACAAACTAGGAATAAAGGAGCAGTGTCAAGATGATAAAGGATTCAACTTTCAGAACATAAATATATATCTTGTCACCTTCCATGTCCTTTAAGGATTTCATTCTCATAGGGTAAGGATTGGAGGGAATAATGGAGCAATGTAAATCCAAGTGGATGAGGGAGAGAAACAAGCAGAAAGATAGCCAGAATATCTTTATGTAAGTAATCGATAGTTATCCATAGACATAAATTACCTGACTGATTCCAAAGCTTTTCATTGGTCACCTCCCGTATGAGACGTTCTACAGATGTATCTTGATATGAATTACTGCTCAATGTTGGCTTTTTGGAGGAGGATGTTTTTTATTTCCCAGCTTTGGATCCACTGAGCTTTGGGTGACTGGAGTTGACTTTTTATTAGAAAATTGTGAGTTCTTAAGCTGCCTCGAATCCATTGGCTGCTTCCATGAACTCTGCCTCAGAATGGAAGATGCATCAGCCTCTGAAGAAAGATCACTTTCACTGCCTAGCCTCCTCGGCCTAGACAACAATCCAGAATTAGTATCACCATAACATTCAGCTTTACAATTACAAGATTCCATAAGATTACTTCCTTCATTACATGCCACGTCAACTTGTTTATGATCCTCAATTATCAGCTGACTTTGCTTTTCTCCAAACCTTTCAGCAGGTTGAGAAGCAGTACAGACTTCTTTCACAGTACGAGTAATGACTGGCATTGGAAGGCTCTGCCTTCTTGGTGTGGAAGTTTTTATGGTGCCAACTTGCTTGACATCTTCCAAATTTAGAAACATGGTCTTCCTAGTTCGTTTCTTTCCTAGCATTGCTTCTTTCTGTTCATCTATCTTCCTCTTTACTGGAGTATTAGCACACTTAAGTGCATAACTGGCTTCAATACCCTTAACTTCTCTTTGTTTAGGGACCAAGGTAGGTCCCTCTTGAACACTGAGGGACATATCACCCTTACTGGTTCCTTCTGAATTCTGGCTATTGTTTCCTTTCTTATCATTCATATGTTGATCCAATCTTAATGGACAATGACAATTTTCAGTAACTTGGATGTTCCCAGCAGTTGCACCTGAAGCACTACAATCCATTACTGCAGGTATAACTCGCTCTTTTAAAGCTTTAGCAGGTTCATGCAAACCATTACAAGTGTATGCATCAGCTGAGCCCTCAGCATCAGACCACTCCCCTTCTTCTCTTTCCACAGCTTGGGCATTTGCAGAACCAGAAACCAATGAAGCTGCTGCCTCTGCTTTCATCTCCTTGTCATTATTATTTGACTTCAATGAAGATGATGAAATGTTAGCAATCTGATCTGAAGCCACCTTTGGTATGATAGACACTTCAGGGCCGAGAGAAGTTTTAGCCCAAACAAAAGGCCGAAAACCAGACACAGATGATGCATGCAAGAAAGCATTTTTATTGAAAATTCCTTGGGTTCCTGCTGGTGTTACAAATAAGTCAGATGTGTTGGAATTTTTAGATGGAAGTGCTTTCTGTGGCTGGAAGCAAGTGACATGATCACTCTCCTCATTATCTTCTGTGGGGGGTTCATTAAGATCAAATAAAAGCTTTCCTCCAGATCCCATTTCTTATGCAAATGCATAGACACCAAAATGACTTTCCACAGAAATCCAAATGGTTCCACTTTTGTTTTCTTTTCAGTAAAAAATGCACATGACATACCAAACTGTACAAGCAACTAAGAATGAATTAGCAAACTGATCAATCAATGGAACTCTAAAAGCATGGTGACTTCTAAAAATCAAAGCAAACATAAGGTAAATAGGCAACTTAACCTTAATTTATGTAGCAGTTGAATTTAACTCCCAGGTAACTCCGCCAATGAGCAGACACAAAATTGATTTTTACCTGCATTGACAAAAAGAGTTCCTAAAACAATGACTTTAAAAGCAATGCTAAACACACAAAATAACTAAAACTTAAAAAGTAAAAACATTGACCCCTTCCCTAAACAGTTCTTATGATAAATGAAAAAAGTAAGTAACCAGGAAAACTGACCCTTTTTCATTAAAAAAATTGCATAATAAAATGAACCACTTATTGTTTGTTTCAGGCAATATCAACTAAAAATTTTTCAAAATATAAAACGGAAACATTGAAATTCATTGAACGAGCTGCTTTTCATTCATATATATAGCATGCCAATGCCCACTGTACTATTAAAAAAAATAAAAAATAAAAAAACTTAACTAACATGCCAATTAAGCGTATAAAGTAAAAACCTCAATTAAGCCTCAAGGTATCAATTCTTTTTCATTACAGAAACCAATAATGTCACCAACTAATCAGAGCCCCATCAGGAACTTAATAGTTTCAATCAGAATATCAGCAAAATCACCTTACATTACACATCAACAAGTTTGAAACCTCCTACAGAAACAGAATAAGATCTCTCTTACCTTGTCCTAATCCAAGCAGACACCAGAGTAATTCAATCCTTAATGAATCAAACAAGAAACTAATCCCAATTATTACACTTAAAGCACCTCCCCCCCACCCCACCTACCACCAACTTGCCCTCTACTCTCCTCAGATCAAATACCTCAACCGAACACCCTCCAATCACAACCTAGAATTTCCGACAAGCACATATCAGAATCATAAACCCGATTCTATGCCAGTTTTACAAAGTCCACATTTCCCCCCACCAATCTCTCCAGAAATCCGCTCCCCACAGATCAAAACCTCATTCATCTGTTCCCTAGTCACAACATATATCATCCATACAATGCATTAATCTAAAGCTCATAGTCACGATAAAAGCATATCATTTCTTGAATCATTTCAGCAGCAAGAAAATTAAAAAAAAGAAAAAAAAATTCAAAAAATCACTAAACTTTTGAAATTTGAAGTTGATAGAGAATTTTTCCATTTTTTTTCTTTATTTTACCTCTTTGAAGCTTCTTGAATCCAGATAAAAGTACTCAAGAGGGAGAGGCTTTCTATATAGAGAGCAGAGATGGATGGGATGGAAATAAGAGTGGGGGAAATGGAGTTTATATAGGAAATGACGACGCCACCTAACCAGCCGGTTTTTTCTCCGACCACAGTTAGTATATTTTCCGGTCAGTATATATAGAAGAAAAAGTGTTTTCTTGTTGCAAATAAGTTTAAATTTATTAAAATATCATTAATAAATAATATTTTTATAATA